CATTCCCTGACCAATGAACCACCATAGCCACTCTGCTGCTGGTTCTGGAGACAATTACCATTAGCAGCATCCATGTTCTTGACAGCCTACTCCACTATCACAGTAAATTGAGACAAAACACATCGGGATGCTTTTGACTGCAAGCGGAAGAAACCTAACTTGAACTGGCGTCAGCAAAGATGGAGATGTCTTGAAGGTCCGAGGAACCATGTTGGGTCCAGGGCTTATGACTCAGCCTCAATTCCCTGCTTCTACTTTCTACTGATTTCTCTGTGTTGGCACCATTCCCAGAGAGACTTTTCACCTCATGATAACAAGTACTGCTGGCACCCGCAAGCTTCCATCTGATTTTCTCAGCAGCTCCCCAGAAAAACAGAAGAGCCTCTTTTCAAAGTCCCAGAACTGAATTTCCTGGGTCCTGAGCAGCCAGGCTTGGCTCATGGGCCTATCTCTGGACAAATCACTATATTTAAAGTTGTATTAATTTCTTATTGTTGCTGCAACAAATCATCATGAACTTAGTGGTTTAAAATAATACCAACGATTATCTTATAGTTCTGGAGTTCAGAAGTCTAAAAACAGGTTGGAAGGGCTGTGTGCCTTCTGGAGACTGAAGGAAAGAATTCATTCCCTTTCCTTTTCCATTTTCTAGACACTACCTGCGTTCCTCAGCTCAAAGCCTTGTACCACTCCAACTTCTGTTTCGATAGTCACAACTTCTCTGACTCTGACCCTCCCCCACCCTCTTATGAGAACATTTAAAAAAATTACATTGCCCACCGCCCACCACCTCCAATAATCCAGGATCATCTCCCATCTCAGTGTCTTTAATCACACCCTCAAAATCCCTTTTGCCGTGTTAGTTGACATATTCACAGGTTCTGAGGATTAGGACATGGACATCTTTGAGGGTACCATTATTCTTCCTATCTCAAAGATGATGTGGTGGTCTGATTAGTTAGTTCATAGTCACAAGCCTGGAACTGGAGCATCCCCTGAAACCATGTGGACAGAGATGGGGAGGGGTGGTTCCCCAGGGGAAGATGTGGTCCATTACCAGACCTGGAGGGATGGGATGCTGGCAGGGCAACAACAGCAAATATCCACAGCAGAAAACACAGGAAAAAACTTCAGGACTCTCTTGAACAATTTTTGTTCCTTTTGGGATCACCTGATTTCTTTTAGGCTTTGAGCACATTTGATTGACAGCACTAAAGTTCAGAATGCATTGTGATCATTTTATTTCACTGGGAATATTATACACAGTGTATGTCATTTGTAAAGCAAGGGATTTGGAACCTGGCACTTCCTCCAGTGCATTGTAGAATGAACCACATGCCAATGATGGGAGATACAGTTAAGAGTTGGACAACACGGAAAAGCGCTTAATTACTTGGTTTCTGAGTAAGTCCAGAGTTCTTGCTGCTGCGGGTGGGTGGGGAGAAGAAATTCCAGCATGATGGAAAACTACATAATGTATTATGTTACTCCCCCTTAAATCCCTTAAATTAAAGGAAAAACAATCTTCAAAGAATCATAAAGCACATAAAGAGACAACTGGAGGGGATGCTCATCTGAGATAAACTGCAATATTCTTAACGGTTGGGTTTCGAATCAAAATGTAAGTGGTAAGGTCTCAAAGTAACAGTCGCACATCTGCTGACTTGGAAAAAGTTGAGGGAAAATAAACACAATGACCAAGCCGTGCACTTGGCCGAGCCCCAGCAGTGTCCTGATACATGACTTCTCCTAGGGGCACACTGGATGCTGAGGCAGTGAAGGCAGATCAAGGAATATTGGCAGACGTCTGCGGAGAAAAACATCTATTCATTTGTGTCCTCTGTAGAGGTCATCATGACCTTCCATCAGAGATTTTGGAATGGAAACTAGACAGATGGAGAGGCAGTGAGTTGTCAATGATACATATAAGAAAATGGGAACCATTAAAATCCTAGGTATGAGTTCCAGAGGCAGCGCTGCTTAAGCGTTATGAACTCTCCCTGGAATCATGTGGAGTTAAATTTGAATCCTGATTGACTGCCACTTAATAGATACATGGTTGTAGGCTGGTTACGTTGACCTTTCAAGCCTTAGTTTTTTAATCTGTGAGATGGGGCTAATGTTAGTATAAATTTTGTTGAATTGTCATAAGGGCAAAACAATGATGGAAACCACCAGCTTGCCACCGAGTTACATAAACTGTATGTTTCCTTTGCACATTGCTTAGCCTGGAATCCAGGAGGCTTTGTGATCTTGCCAAGTTTCCAAGCCGGCTTTACAATGAATTACTTCATATTTTAATTGAGGTTACTTTAAGTATATTAATTTAGAAAGGAATTTTATGTCAATCACTACCATGCATAGTAAGCTCAATTCCACGGCCTGACAAAGGCTCCAAGCCTGTGGCCTGCTATCCCTTTGTACAAACCTATGGCCTGCTATATCCCTTTTGTATCCTTTTGTACAAAAATCCCTTTGTACAGCTCTCTCTTTGTTAGAGAGCTGTTAAAGACACATTGAGTCATTGCCCTGGCCATTGTCAGAAGCCAGAAGAACAGCAGGAAAGGGAGCTCTTTCGCTTGAGAGCTGGTGTTGGCGAGTGTCACTCCAGGCTGCTGCCTCAAATCATGGTGCCCGGCTTGCCTTAGGGACCAAGGACAATGCCGCCTCCTCTGATCATCCAGCGGAACACACTGTCCTCTTCTCTGAGCTCTGTGCAGCATTTTATGTTCCCAGCATCCTGGATCTTTGGCGATCTATCCTGAACTTCCTTATCTCAACAAGAGTAGAAGCCCCAGAGGGCAGGGCCAGCTCCATCCTGGTATTTGGCTAGCACCTGCTGGTGCCTGAGAGGCTCATCCAGGGTTGGTAGATTTTTAATCCCAGTGAAGACAAGTGACTGTCGGCTTCGAGCTACTGAAGACCATAGTCCCAGAGAGTGGTCTAAACAGCCATGATACCTCCTGTGTCTGAACATGGTACCCAAAAACCTCCTCCTACTCCTTTCCTCCTTTTAGCTGATTAGTATATTTTCTATTCCTCCAGCCATCCCCCAATCCAATTACTTTTGATTTTGTTGGAGATGGAAATTTTAATTCCAAAGAGATAGTAAGTATTATGGTCTGAATATTTGTCCTCTCCAAATTTATCTGTTGAAATCCTATCCATGAAGGTGATGGCAGGAGGTGGGGCCTTTGGGGGGTGATTAAGTCATGAGGGGTGCAGCCCTCGTGAATGGGATTGGTGTCCTTAAAAAAGAGACTCCCAGAGAGCTGCCCTGACCCTACCACATCTGAGGATGCAGTGAGAAGTCACCATCCACGATCAGAAATCGAGCCCCCATTAAACACCGAATCTGCCGGCACCTTGATCTTGGTTTTCCAGACCCCAAAAATGTGAAAAATAAAACTCTGTGATTTATGGTGTTTTGTTATAGCAGCCCGAACAAACAAAGATAATACTAAAGTGATCCAAATTCTAGCCCAGCACGAACAGAAGATATCGTGAGTATGGGGTTTTTCTTATTTTCAGAGCATCAAGTGCAAAAACAAACAAACAAACAAACAAACAAACAAACAAAAGCTTGGATTCAAGGGCTAGGCAGGATGGGATGGGAGTGGGGGGATGGAGAACTTCAGCATCAGCTTCAATTCTGGAAGCTTGAGTGCTACTGTAGTTACTGCAGCTGTGTACCAATTTACCCAGAGTTTAGTGCTGTAAAACAAACATTTATTATGCTCACGGATTGTGTGGGTGGGAAATTCGGACAGGGTACAGCGGGACAGCTATTCCTCAGTCGGAAGTCTTGAGGGCTGGGAGCTCGAATCATCTGAAGGCACATTCACTCACAGGTCAGTGGCTGACACTGGCGGTGGGCTGGGAGGCCTTGGTTTCTCTCCATGTAGGTTTCTCCATGTGATCTCTCCAAGTGGGCTTGTTAGGGCTTCCTCCTGGCATAGCAGCTGTGTTCAGAGGACAGGTGTCCCGAGCCATCAAGCCAGGTGGATATTGTAGCACTTATTTGGACTCCCCTCAGAAGCTGCTCTGGTCACTTCAGCTGCTTTCTAGTTTTCAGAAGCTGGTCGTTAAGGCTAGTAGAGGGCAGGACCAAATTCAACCCCACTTTTCAGAGATGAGGTCTCGCTATGTTGCCCAGGCTGGTCTTGAACTCCCAGGCTCAAGCAATTCATCCACCTTGGCCTCTCAAAGAGCTGGAATTACAGATGTGAACCACTGCCGCTCCCCCACCCTCAACTCCATCTGTTATGAAAGGAGGGTCCTTTGACCACGAGTGCCCTGAGAAGTGAGGAGGGCTTCCCAGTCTCAGACATTTTTATCTGAGCTGGAGATGGGGACAGTCTCCCACACACAGGACTTGGAAGGCTATGAAGGAAATAGGGGGCTCTTGGAGGCCATTTCCCATGGCGGGGACGGTTGTGTGAATGAACTTGGCCTTTAGGGAGAGGAGCCCGACTCTCCCCTGAAGCCACCCCATCTGTGCGGATGGCTGAGGAATCCCTGGACACCCCAGGACCGCTAACCCAGGATCTTTGTTGACTTTGCCCCCAGGCCACGGCCCCACCCGCAGGCTCTGAACTCCTGGGAGAGGTAGGGAGCCAGCCTGAGGCGTGAGTCAAGAGTGTAAAGTACACTGAGCTCCTTGGCAAGCAGGCTCTTCAAGGGGAAGGTGTCACTCGGGGAACACTGAGAAATGTGTCTTTCCCTCAGGCCCTGATAGAAAAGATAACACCCCTTGAGCACAGCTTTTTCTCATCTGTTCTTGCTCTTGGATGGTGGGGGGGGGGG